TTTAAAGAGGAGGCAACCTGAGTAAGTTACCTGAGATCACACAGTGAACAAACTGCAAAGCTGAATTTGAGCTGAACTGACCTATTTAACTTCACGTCTTATAGAAGCCGGACATTTCCTATACGTCTCAGAGGAAACAGGAGACACGATAATGGGTTAAAGATTTGCATGGCTGGGGAATTCCAGAGAAGCAGAACCAGCATAAATGGCTCAATGCCACAAAAAAATAAATTTTAGCTCAAACATGAAGTTTCTGTGGTAACCTGTATTTATTCTTATTTCAAAAGTAAATGGATTATACAAAATTCTTTTTAGGAAGAAAAACGAAAGAAACGCAATTGCCTTTCACATTTCTAATGAGTTTAGCCGTTCAAAAATAAACAAGCTCCCTTCTGAGGCATGAGCTATTAATCACTGGAAATATTCAAGAATGATGTCAGAAACTGTCAGAAGGATTTCTGGACGAGGTGAAGCTGTCACATAAGAACATTGAGATAGAGATCTTTCAACTGGAGGATCCTTCCTGCCTTTTTTTCCTTCGCTGGTCACTCCTCAATGTTACCCTTCTTACATACAGGATGATGTTACCAGACTCTACAGAGACAGGGTGTCCTTTTTGTCACCTCAAGTTATGAAGAAACTGCCACAGCGAAGTTGCACCCATACCTACAAACGGCTTTAACAATTCTACCTTACAAGCTATTTCTTAGTTTTGAAAAGTGAAATTAAAAGGAAAAAGAAGGCCACAGCGTATTTTTTAGATATAGAAGCCCTAACTGTTTCTGGTTAAACAATCCAGACCATGTGAGAATACAGTCAAGTGTTTTTCAGGTTCAAAGTGCTTACGCGGAACATGGGTAGGAAGAAAGCCAAGCACCAGCGATTAGCTGAAAGGAAATTGTCCTGCTTACCTGGCTATTCTAAACACATAAGTAACTCTGTCAGAGGGAAAGTGAAATCTAATTGAGTCCTGACCCAGATTTTATCAATTCTAAGAAACAATTGGGGGTGGGAAGAAGGGACACATTGTTTTGGTTTTGCATTTTAACATATCTGAAATCAGACTCTATATTACAACCCATGACATGTCTCCATTTAGTTATTAGCATTTTTCTTTCTTAAAGGTACATAAAGGGGCCTGGGTGGCTCAGTCGGTTAAGCGTCTGCCTTCGGCTCAGGTCATGATTCCAGGATCGAGCCCCGCCTTGGGCTCCCTGCTCGGTGGTGAGCCTGCTTCTGCTGCTCCCCCTGCTTGTGCTCTCTCTCTCTCTCTCTGTGTCAATGTCAAATAAGTAAATAAATTCTTTAAGATTTAAAAAAAAAAAAAAAAGGTACATAAAAATGGTGCTTCTTAAAAATCAATGGCAATAGAAACTGGAAATAAGGCTGACAGAAAGTAAACGTCAGTTTCTTAAAAACATAAATAAACCGGCGGAGCCTTAGTCTTGATGAAATATAATAATTTCTGAACATGACGCATAAAGAAACAATTTCCACATGAGAATTAAAATTCAGACTTAAGTGGTACAGTGTGTGACTCTTGACCTCAGGGTTGTGAGTTCGAGCCCCACGTTGGGTGTGGAGATTTTTTAAAAATAAAATCCTAAAAAGTAAAATAAATAAAATTCAGACTTAAGAATTAAGGACGCTATGGAGAATGGCTGTGTGCATTTGTCTGATGATCGCATGGGTACTGATGTGTGCTGTGGGCCCTACCGTGCTGGAGGGAGGGGGCGCCTCAAGGTTAAGGGAAAGCAGCAGGCTTGGGATCTGGCTGGCCCATAAGAGCATCTGGGGAGCTCTCACCTTCTATTATTACTAAAGCTTTTGGGGCTCTGGACTTCTTAGTTCGGAGCTACAAAGACCTTTCACATGCCCTCTGTGACTTCTCCGGCCCTAGGAGCCAAGCTGGCTGCCTAGAGACAGAGGAAGCCTCAAAAAGCAGGATGAAAACAGAATCCTAGAGATATCTGAAGTTCAGGACCTAAGTGGGGTGGGGGAGGGAATCTCCTCTTGCCCCAGCTGTATATTTGTGCCCTCAGTCCCAGATGGCAGGACCCACGTTGGCCACAAATCATAAACAGGAAAAGAAAGCTTAGCCAGAAGAAGGAAGGGTAACTCGATTTTCTGAGGTCAAAGAGCATGGCATGAAGTCAGACAAGTACACACACCTATGTGGACAACAAGGCAGAATATGACATCTGGAGTGCTAGGAAACACAGAGTTAACTCTGCTCTACAGTGTCCTCAGTCTGTGAACACACAAAAGTGCCAGTGCTGGTCAAATCTGTGAAATCCTGAATTCTATAAAACAGAACAGTTTGCTTTTTAATTAAAAAAAAAAAGAACATTAGCAAATCAGGCTGTCTTGGGAACTGGGCAGGTTTGGGGGAGTGATGGGGTGCTGGCGAATCTGGGTTGCTTCGAGGCGGGGAGCAGGTGCGGAAGAAGCATCTCAGCGACAGAGCAACCCAAGTTCAAGGTGAACATCCTTGTCCGGGAAGCCTGGGTAGGAGGAAGCCTGTGTTTGCCCCTATTCAAACACCTGGCCCAGAAAGCAGCATACAGCGGAGCCTCAGAATCATTGGCTGCAAGAATGTGCTCGCTTCGGGAGCACATATACATTGGCAGAAAGAACGTCCAAGTGTTGCACCTACTTCTCCTGACAATTAAATAAACTTCAGGAGTCAAATGGGGTCTTCTGTCCTAAAGATGTTAAATGACTCCTCAGAGCCTTATTCTCACAGGGAGTAATGAAGCACAGAGGAGAATCCAGGTTACCTCAATTGCAAGTTGCAAATTTAAAATAATAGTTGGATTTGTTTTTATTTTTAGCATTCTAAGGCTTTTTAGGAAGAAGTGACTTTAGTCTGGGGAACTATATTCCCTTTCAGCAGGATTTCACCGTCTAAACGAATTCAATTTTCCTTTTCTATTAGGGGAAAAAAAAAATCGCCTAATTACATAACCAGAGATTTTGTAGAAATGATCACAGCTTGACGGAAGGCCTTAAATTCCTGTATGAGTCCCAGGCAGCAGGGTGTGTGATCAGCTGACCAGCACATAGCTCCACCATAAACTGCAGGGTGAGATGATTTACATATTTCAACTCGGGGTCTTCTAGAGTTTGATGGTGCAATCCTGTAATATATCCTTTAAAACACAAGGACTAAACTGTATGTCCCATCACTTCATTAGCTTTCTTTCCGTGAAGGCCTAGTAATAGCTGTTTTTAAAAACTAACCGAGCTCGGCGCCTGGGTAGCTCAGTTGGTTAAGCGACTGCCTTCAGCTCAGGTCATGATCCTGGAGTCCCTGGATCAAGTCCCGCATCGGGCTCCCTGCTCGGCAGGGAGTCTGCTTCTCCCTCTGACCCTCCTCCCTCTCATGCTCTCTGTCTCAAATAAATAAATAAAATCTTAAAAAAAAAAAAAAAAAAAAACTAACCGAGCACTTCCTATGTCTTTAAATTAATTCAATTCATTATAATCAAGCCAGCATATCTTTCTTAAACTGATCAATCCAGACTAGAGGAAAGCTGCTGAGTGTAGAAACAGGTGTTAGGCTCATCGTGACCCGATGTTAGCTTAGGCGAGTTTCCGGACTCTCGTATGTAGCCTTGGTTTTCTCACCTGTCACATGAGGGACGCGGATTGACCTCCACAGCCCGTTCCAGTGCTGACCTCTGTGACCTGCCACTAGGGCTGCTCATGGAATCACAATGCGGAGGCAGTTAGGGTCTTCTCATTGCACAAAGGCAAGAACTGGAACTCATGGGAATGGGCAAAAGAAAGCCCCTACACCTTCATTCTTAATGGTCTTGGATACTCGGAGACCAAACTCTGGGCAAGCTCAAAGGTTCAGTTCCTCTTTACTGGGTACATTCTTTATTATCACGTGCTTACAAGAAAAAATGATAATCGTAATAAAAAAAAAAAACCCAGACAGCTACATATTTCTCTCCATACACAAGTAATTCTCACTTCCTCTAGAAAACTGTACCAAATTAGGTGGGTGGGCAGCCTGAACCCACCTTCCAATTTAAAAATCACAAGATGGGGGCGCCTGGGTGGCTCAGTCATTAAGCGACTGCCTTCAGCTCAGTTCATGATCCCGGGGTCCTGGGATCGAGTCCCACATTGGGCTCCCTGCTCAGCCGGGAGCCTGCTTCTCCCTCTCCCACTCCCCCTGCTTGTGATCCCTCTCGCTGTGTCTCTCTCTGTCAAATAAATAAATAAATAAAAATCTTTATAAAAAAAATCACAAGATGTTTCTCATTGTCACATCAACTGGTGATACTTGTTGGCTTTTAAATAATCGTTTCAGCCTAAATGGCTCCTACACAAATGGATTTACATTTGTATGATTGCGTCATTCTGTCTTTGTCTATGGACCTTCCTTTGGTGTTAAAATATGCATTGTAACTTGCGTATTTTATAGCTATGCTTTAATTAAAGATGACGTAATCACTACACAAATTCCTCCCTTGGTCAGTATAGTAGAAAGGACACTGGAAAATGCCTCATGGGGGAGGTATTTTCCTACTTGACTTTTCAACCACACAACTCCATGGTGGAGTCTCCAATCTGGTCCTCCACCTTTTGGCGGACGAGACATTGCCGCTTGTCCCCAAGCACCCATCACAAGTGCTGTCCCGGGTCACCACCGGGCACTGCCAAGACTCAATTCCTGCTTACCTTTCCCTATACCTTTGCCATTTCATAAATATTCTCAGGAAATCTAGTCCTGAGTATTAGTTTATATGCTGGCAGACAGTAAGTACGACTATATAAATGCATGCATTTATTTACTTTAAAAACAGCACCTCTGTGGAAAGTGCAGGAGGGCAAGTATGGAAACAGAGAGACCATTAGCAATATCCTACACCATTCTCGGTGAGAAATAGTGGTTGCTGAATTAGGATGGCAGCTATGGAGTGATGTAAAGCTGTCAGATTCCATTATCTTTTTTTTTTTTTAAGTAGGCTCCACACCCAGTGTGGTGCCCAACATGGGGCTTGAACCCACGACCCTGAGATCAGGAGTCGGACGCTTAACCGACTGAGCCACCCAGGCGCCCCTCCATTATCTCTATAAATAGAAATGATGAGACATTCTGGCTGGGATGTGGGGGGTGAGGGAAAGAATGAAGTCAAGGAAAGGCTGGGTTGGGCTGCCATTTCCAGACACATCCTAGGCAAGGCTGAGGCTCCCCGTCAGTGGGCAAAGGAATGTTAGCCACATGGAGCCCTGTTCCTCCTCCCTCCCCAGCACTATGGGAGCTGTCTTGAGAGAGAAGGTGATGGGCCCAAGAGCACAAGCAGGAGGTGCGGGGGCACACCCCCTGCTGAAGGAGGCAGAGGAGGAGAAAACAAAGCCTCGTAGAGGTTCCCACCTCCGAAGAGCCGAAGCTGGCTGATGGGCCTGAGATGGCGGGGCTGCTACCAGCAGGAGCAGCTGTGGTGGTGACAGTTCCTGATTCCTTTGCACTAGACCCAACGGGCACTGGGCCAGGTGTCAAAGGTATCAGCAGAGAAAGTCAGAGAAAGAGAAAGCTCACCCCTGGGGATTAACTGGGCAGCAGAAGGCCTAGCAGAGTTTGGCCCTGGCTCAAGGCAAAAATAGGAGGTGGGAACAGACCAGTGTACTTTCTTAGAGCACTGGGGAAGTGGCTCTTACTTGGACCTGCGCTACCTCCCAGAGTGGACCGCAAGACAGACTCTGAAGGAGGAGAGAGAACTTGATCCATTTCTAGGCTCAAACGAGGCGCTGAACCAAAGGGGTGCAGGGAGGGTGTCAGAACATGCACTTTACAGCCTCTGTGAACCCCTAGACATGTTGGTGGTGATGGTATCTCTCCAATTCATATGGCACAAAGTAGTAGTAGAAGTATTTTATAAAGACAAACCGTGAAACTTAAAGGACATACACAATGCCAGCTATTCATAAATGAGCCTCATCAAAACACAGCTGTTTTGAGGAATGTGGAAAGGAAATGTGGCCACTTGTGACAAACCTTCTCAACATGGCTGGCCCTGAGGCGAGGACTCCAGCAGACCTCCACATATTGAGCAAATCTGCAGCGGGCTCTGGCGTGGAGCTCACAGCACCCCCAGGGTTAAGCAGTTAGGGCGTGTGATAATCCAAGAAATGGGAAAAGGAGTCGGTACCAGAGTCATTTATATCCACATACTCTTGAGAAAACTAAGGCAAAGAGATAGTACCCACTTAAACTCCATGAGCGGGCACTATGATGCCAAATACAGGTGAGGAAAGTAGCTCAGAACTTGACATTTGGCTAAGTGGGGCAGAGCAGGATTTGAACCCAGCACTCCATTGACACCACAGCTTCATAAAGATGACAGTCATCGGGGCGCTGGGGGGCTCGGTCAGTGAGGCGTCTGCCTTCGGCTCAGGTCATGATCCCAGGGTCCTGGGATCGAGTCCCGCATCGGGCTCCCTGCTCAGCGGGAAGCCTGCTTCTCCCTCTCCCTCTACCGTTCCCCCTGCTCGTGCTCTCTCTCTCTCTCTCAAATAAATAAATAAATAAAATCTTAAAAAGAAGAAAGGATGACTGTCATTAGCAGAAGGTAAGGGGAGGTACTCAAAATGGAATTTGAGCCTAAGGGTAACATAAGCAATAGTTAAGTATGAGAATTATATTAATAATGGCAATGATAGGGTGCCTGGGTGGCTCAGTCGTTAAGCGTCTGCCTTTGGCTCGGGTCATGATCCCAGGGTCCTGGGGTCAAGCCCCGCATCGGGCTCCCTGCTCAGCGGGAAGCCTGCCTCTCCCTCTCCCACTCCCCCTGCCTGTGTTCCCTCTCTGGCTGTCTCGCTCTCTGTCAAATAAATAAATAAAATCTTAAAAAAATAAAAATAAAAATAATGGCAATGATAACTTTTACTGAGTGCTGAGTATGAATTAATTCATCAAATCTTTATTGAGCTCCTACTATGTGCCATGTGCTGTAGACAGTAGGAATACAGCTTCCCCACGGAGCTTACATTTTCATGGAGGAGAGCCCACGCTAGGTCCCATGGGTTATTCCCCACTCAGGGAAGGAATCAGAGGGGTTAAGTGACTTGCCTAATGTGCCATAGCTAGGAAGTGGTGTGGAGCCAGGGCCGGAACTCCCTAGAATCATACGACCAGTCCAGTTCATGAGATACCCCAAAAGCGACCCTCAATGTGCACTGTTGGGAGGAAAATGGACCAAAAGCTCAGAATACAAACATTTGGGGCAGTTCCAAACCAAAAAAGATTTTGACATCTGTTCAAAAGAGTCAAAAGAACACTTTAATGGGCATCCTAGGACCTCTGCAAAGAGGAGAGCAGGGAGCCCACCCAAACGTTCCCACAGTTCAGTGTTCTGTCCAAGTTCATGGCATCGTATGACTTGGTATGGAAACTGTCAGCTGTCAAAGGCTGGGCAGGGCTACTTCCTGTATAACCTCAGCTTTTTTATTCCTCTCAAGGTCTTTCAAAGGGCAAACCACAGCCATTCCCACTTCCCAGAACCCTCTGCTGATTACAGCAACATCAGATCCCCCATGGACAGGGAGGACTGGTATTTCACACATGAAACACTAGAACGCAGATTAATAATTTACCAATGACTCTAAACAAATATTGTTCATGGGGGAAAAAAAACCCTTCACTTTTGAATGGGAAGTTAGTCAGATTACCTCAGGACTTTAAAAAGCAAACTGCAAAATAACCTTCTTAGAATTCAATATTTATTAATGCTGATGGTTCATTTTTTAAGAATTAATCATTCCCAGCTTCAATATTCTGCTTCAACATAAAGTTCACTTTATTCTGCATGTGGATTCCTGCACTCTCTGCCCAAATAAATTAATACATATTCCAGAGTCTGAGGCCACGATCAATGAAAAACCACAGTAAATTCCTAAGCAGTAATAGATATTCCACATGGCTTGAAATGATTGAAGGAGAATTTTCTTAAGGTTAAGAATCAAAGCACTGTAACTGAAGATCTTAAAAATCAAGCAGCAATGGCTTCTCAAGGTATCTGATGTTGACTTCAAGGATCATTTAAGGTAAGTTTCCTCTCCTAGTCTCTCCTTGCTCTCTCTCTCTCTCTCTCTCTCTTTCTCAGTTTCCAGCTCCAAGAGTGGTATAGAGTTGGCATTAGGTCAGTGGCATTAATCTAAAATGACAGTGCAATATGAAAAATGGCAGACTACGTGTGGAGAAAAGTAAGTACTTGAGAAACTATTTGAGAAAAAGTAAACACTTGAGAAAAGGAAATATTCCCAAAGTCTGTTGCCAGGCCTTGGCCTAATCCAATCTATAGGTACATAGTATAAAGAAGAACTGAAAACCATGACAACACACTCTTTTGTAGGTCAATTCCTAAGCAAACTGAAAAATCTTTGATTCAACTTTAGGGTATTTACAAACTAATACCCATTCCATTTAATATTATTCCAGCTGTCCTATCTTTGTGGGAACGATGTAGAACTGGGATCAGCAAACTACAGTCCGTGGGCCAAATCTGGCCCACTGCTTATTTTTGTAAGTAAAGTTTTATTGGAACACAGCCATGCCCATTCATTTATGCGTTCTCTGTGGCTATTTTCATGTACAATGGCAGCGTTGAGGAGTTGCAACAGAGACCATATGGTCTACTAAAATATTTCCCAGATGACCCTTTGCTGACTTGATGCAGAAGAACAATGAGGAAAATCATAAAAGGTATTAGAGCAGTCTTGCACGGTTCATAGTTGTGCTTACTATACTGTGAAAGCACTATGTGGAGCTATCTGGAGAAGTGACAAGCCTTTTTCAAACTGCAATCTACAATTAAAAGAAGCACAACCTTGAGCTAAGGGAAGAGCACTAATATGTGGAATTAGAAGTCAGCAAGATGTCAGAGGAGAAAGACTTTAGAACAAGTGACTGCTCCATATTTTAGGATGAGATGGAGGAGGTAGAACAAAATATACAAATGGCAAGAAAAAGATGGGATGGGCTCACTCTGCTATGCACTGCAATCAGTTTGATCAATGTCAGCCCCCAATTTTTTTTTCTTTTTTTTAAAGTAGGCTCCACATCCAGCATGGAGTCCAACATGGGGCTTGAACTCACAACCTGGTGATCAAGATTTGAGCTGAGATCAAGAGTCAGACGCTTAACTGACTAAGCTGCCCAGGAACCCCAGCCCCAAATTGTTTCTTAGTGGGAAATTATATGGGCACATCAATCTCCTACTTCCAAAAATATTGAGCTGGAAAAATAAATTTGGGTCCCAAATTATCAGTATCTCTTATCTTCCACAATTTGAAATTTACATAGATTAACAGTTGGGAGCACATCTCTAAAAAAATGTAAATCATCCTGTTAGAGCTATAGCAGTCAGTCATTTTCACCTCGATGAGAGTTATTTTAATCACACTGCTTTTCTCTTTCCCTATAGCGAATTCTGGCTTTACAATTCTGTAATTTCACAGTTTGATATCACTACTTGCAGTTCTATTTTATTACTGAAGGATAGGGTGATGTTCAAAAGAGATGGAAGAAATGGACTAATTTAAAGTAAGGACAAAATAGGGCTAATTCGAATAAAATGAAGGCTGAGAGCTCTCTTTCTTACCCCAGAATCTAGGCCCTGGATAAAAACTGACATATGAGTACAAAGTAATTTAAAAGCAAAAAGTACTCTACAATTTTGCAGTACTTTAGCTTTTATCTTCTTTACCATTTTGAGCCCTCAGGCTAGCCTGTGACTGGAAGTAGACATTATTTCCATTTTGCAGATGAGGAACTGTGTTCTCAGAGGAGTAAATCACCTGCTCAAAGTCATGGGTTAAGTATTCAAGGTCTTCTAATTGTTGCTAACTTGCTTGTGAGACAAAGTGCCCGATGGGATTACAGTGTCAATTTAAGGGAAATGAATTCTGGCCTTTTCTACAGCTCTTACAAATACATTTGCCTTCTCAAAATCAAAAGCCCAGTATTTCCAAGTTATGACTCACAGACCGGAATAACCGACCTAGGGCTTCCATTATTTGGTCGTCACTAGGGAAGGTGATATTCATCCTCATTAGGA